GGATTACAAGTAAAATATATTTCTTCAGGGCTACAGGCAAATTGTTTGGTTTTTAGAATTTATGAGCTACTGTGTTCCAGGTATCATAGTAGCCATTTTAAAAATGTGTGCTTGAGGTCTTCTTTTAAATCACAACATCTTTTTCCAAAAAAACCATTTGTGCCTCATGTGATGCAGTGACCTACTAATCATGCCAGGCCCTCATTACACAATTGCTTTGTTCACATTATTGTTTATGTACTTCAGTTGTCTACTGTTTCCCATGGTTAGAGAAGCCATGTGATCTTGCAGCAACAGTTTCCTGAGCTTGAAATTGTTCATCACATAGGTCACTACCACAGTAAATACTTGTGTTTCTACCTTGCAGTTTACATAGCTCATGTAACTAACAGGAACTATTAAAGATATTGTCAATCTAAAGATAACACATACATTATTTATTTTACTTAGCACCATTAATTATTTATAGCTGTTTATCGAGAGAAATAAAAACACAGTTTCCTTTCCAAAGAGCCTACAATCCAGATTTGGAAAAAAGAAAGGAAGGAAGGAAGGGGAGAGGCAGAGTAACAAGGGAATAATACAAGACACAGTGGTTTCCATTATTTGAGCAAAACTTAAGTTAGATAACTTTCACTTGAATAGAACAGACTGGATGGTGATTAGCAGCCTTGTGCTTTATATAGTGTAGTCATCTCATATCAGGCATAGGAATGCAGATGTGCTCTTTTATAAGGAGCAGAGATACAAATGGTAGGCATGTTTTTCTTCTAATGGGAACTATTTATGCCTTAATTTTTATTGAATTGCAGTTTATCTAGGTATAATTATGTTATTTTAGCTTTCACCGCTTTAAAGGCTTGATTTAAAAAACACTTCCGGTTTTTAAATCAAGCCTTTACTCCCACTCCCAAGCAAACTACACCAGATCACAGAGTGCTGTCCTCTGAAGATGCCGGCCACAGAGACTGGTGAAACGTTAGGAAGAACAACCTCCAGAACACGGCCAAAGAGCTGGAAAAACCCACAACCATTAGATCCCGGCTGTGAAAGCCTTCGCGAATACACTTCCGTTTTCTTCCGTCTTAAACAAGCCTCTTTGTCTCTTCTACTGTTATAATAAATTACAACATAAATGCTGTTCTGACTTACGGTGACCCTTTTCAGAGTTTTCTAAGTAATAAGAGAACTCTGAAGGTTTTTTTTTACCATTCCCATCTTCTGTGAGTGCTCTAGGACTGCACAGATTACCCAAGGCTGAACAGGCTGGCTCTTCTCCTGAGAGACATAATGGGACCTCTGGACTACAGTGTGGACTGGGCAAAAGAAAATGAGGGTCATGACATCACATGATAAATTGGTGAAACTACATGCTGAAGAGAGAATGTGATACGAGGGGTGTTTTTCAGCTATATACTGTAATGTTTGGTTTAGACCATATAAACAAGCCTCTTTGTCTCTTCTACTGTTATAATAAATTACAACATAAATGCTGTTCTGACTTACGGTGACCCTTTTCAGAGTTTTCTAAGTAATAAGAGAACTCTGAAGGTTTTTTTTTACCATTCCCATCTTCTGTGAGTGCTCTAGGACTGCACAGATTGCCCAAGGCTGAACAGGCTGGCTCTTCTCCTGGGAGGCATAGTGGGACCTCTGGACCTCTGGCTCCATAGCAGGTACCCATCTCTCTGGTTTATCCAGCCAACCACTACCATTATACTGAATTGCCATGTCATGCAATTCCTTCCTCTGACTCATCCGTGAGTACTACAGTGTGGACTGGGCAAAAGAAAATGAGGGTCATGACATCACATGATAAATTGGTGAAACTACATGCTGAAGAGAGAATGTGATATGAGGGGTGCTTTTCAGCGATATTGATATATATACTGTAATGTTTGGTTTAGACCATAAGTGCTATTTATTGCAAAAGGATAGCCTCCGTTTCTTTTTTTTCTCAAGTTCTCATTCTCAGACTGCAATTTCAAGATACAGAAAGGCAAAGAAGGGACAGGTCGTGTAGTGATGTGGAAGATGGGCATCAGCAATAGCTATACTTTGGAAGTTACTTTCTGTGGGTCTAAGCTAGGTAAGGCAAATACAATTTTATTCCAGACTTGATATTATGGGATCCAGCAGTCTTGTTTAGCAGATTCAGTAGGACACACTGATAGAGACACATTTTGTTTGACAAAGATAAATAGGCAGGGATGTGAAAGATTCATATTGTAATGTAGTTTAGCCAGAGAGAGAGAGAGAGAACTTTTGGAGTACCAGATGTAACAGTTAAAGTGAGTGTATAATTAACCTCACTTTTAATTAATATAATTATTAATTATAATTTAAATAAAACCTAACCTGAAAATAAGCCCTAGTACGATTTTTCAGGATGCTCGTAATATAAGCCCTCCCCCCAAAAACGCCCCAGTTAACTGAAATCCCGCCCTCCACCATTGTGCAGCAACCAGAATAAGATGACATGACTATATTTGAATAAACGTAGATTGCTGTACATGAAAAAAATAAAACACCCCCTGAAAATAAGCCCTAATACGATTTTTCAGGATGCTCGTAATATAAGCCCTCCCCCCAAAAACGCCCCAGTTAACTGAAATCCCGCCCTCCACCATTGTGCAGCAACCAGAATAAGATGACATGACTATATTTGAATAAACGTAGATTGCTGTACATGAAAAAAATAAAACACCCCCTGAAAATAAGCCCTAATACGATTTTTCAGGATGCTCGTAATATAAGCCCTCCCCCCAAAAACGCCCCAGTTAACTGAAATCCCGCCCTCCACCATTGTGCAGCAACCAGAATAAGATGACATGACTATATTTGAATAAACGTAGATTGCTGTACATGAAAAAAATAAAACACCCCCTGAAAATAAGCCCTAATACGATTTTTCAGGATGCTCGTAATATAAGCCCTCCCCCCAAAAACGCCCCAGTTAACTGAAATCCCGCCCTCCACCATTGTGCAGCAACCAGAATAAGATGACATGACTATATTTGAATAAACGTAGATTGCTGTACATGAAAAAAATAAAACACCCCCTGAAAATAAGCCCTAATACGATTTTTCAGGATGCTCGTAATATAAGCCCTACCCCCCAAAAAAGCCCCAGTTAACTGAAATCCCGCCCTCCACCATTGTGCAGCAACCAGAATAAGATGACATGACTATATTTGAATAAACGTAGATTGCTGTACATGAAAAAAATAAAACACCCCCTGAAAATAAGCCCTAAGGCGTTTTTTGGAGCAGAAATTAATATAAGACCCTGTCTTATTTTCGGGGAAACAGGGTACAGAGAGAAGGAATGTTGATTAATGTCTTTACATTCATAATGGCCAGAATCCAACTAATGTTTGCATAAGGTTTGCGCAACTTGCCACAGTTGACAGTAACTGATGAAACATTGAGATATATCTCAGTCATGTGCCTGATCATGTGCTCTATTGCTCCACTAACATGCAACCCACCTTGTAAATTAGCTGCCATTGATTCCATCAAATTATACAAATATTATGCAGATTCCAGTAGGATTCTAGCTACTGGGGTTACATCAGGCTTATCTACGCTGCAAACTAGTTTAACACTCATTCCCTCATTCTTTGGAATTGTACTTCTGTGAGGCAAGAACAGAGGTTAACAGTTTCTTTTAAAGAATTCCCATGATCTTCCCCAATTCTTTGAGGTGCTCCAAGAACAATTATTTTTAGTATATCTGAAAGAGGTGCAGTTTCCCATTTTGAAGTCCATTGTCAATACAGTGGTGCCTCGCTTAACGGGCGCCTCGTTTAACGACGAATCCGCATACCGAAGAAGTTTTTGCGATCGCTTTTGCGATCGTATTGCGATGTTCTCTATGGGGAAAAATCGCTTTGCGATTTTTCCCCATACCTTCCCCCAGCTTACCGGCGGTGGCGACTGGGGTGAGGGGAAGCCGGGAGGCCCTATGGAGGATCTTCACTCAACGGTGAATTTTAAGCCCATAGGAACGCATTAATCATGTTTTAATGCATTTCTATAGGCTTTTTAGTTCCGTTTAACGATGTTTCCGTATAGCGACGTTAATCCTGGAACGGATTAACGTCGCTATGCGGGGCACCACTGTATTTATGTATTTGCCAATATCCTTTGTGAAGGAAAGTTCAATGTGTCCAAGGTCAAATCTCATGCATATTTCCTACTCCAGTTTTTTCCCTTGAAACACACCAGTCTTTCAAAGCAATGGGGCATGAGAAATCAAACATGCAAATGAAACTCCTGATGACCAATTTCTAAATGAAACAAAGCTAATTTCCAAAATCTGGAACGAAGGAAGGGCTTGTTAAAATAATGAAAAAGTATTACCTCATAAGGAGTTTGGCTCCTAATAACATACAGACTTGAGAAAAGGTGCAGTTTTACACAGGAATATAGAAGTCTTCTAGCAGAAATGTTTTATATTATAGTCTCGTAGAACAGCAGTCAGAACTTGGTTTTCCTATGTTACGGTAAATTAAAACATTGCTATACTGAGTAGAACAGTTATTTCTTCTCTAATGAAGATTCACATTCACATTCCAGGCAGTAGATATGGTACTCACTTCAGTACTAAGGATCTGGAGTCCATTGGATATCATTTCTGTGATTCATTGTTGGATTTCTGTAATGAAAATCAAGGCAAGGTAATACAAATAAATATTGCTTTTATACAGAATTCTCTGGTATGAGTGCCAAAGAATCTGTTATCACTAGGCAGTAGTGGAAAATTGACATTAATGTCTATGAATAATCTCCTCTAGTATAACGAATACCTGAAGGAACTGGAGGAAATGGCAAAACAAGATGATGCAGTTATCTTTCTCAATGAAACCGCAGATAGAGATTCCAGGTAAATAAAGTTCTTCTGATATGCTTATATTTTGTGACCCATCATTAGATTAGGATGTAAGTAGCAGTGCCATGTTTCCCAGATGGCTTGACTGATAATTGACTTATTATGCAGGTGAATCTTAGTTTACATTTTGAACCCTCAAACTTGTACATCAAAACAACATATTTTCCTTTGCAGTTCTGATAGCTCAGATTCCAATGAATTTGCAGTTAAACAAGACACGCAGGTATGTTACACATTTCCATTAAGCATTCACATTCTTAGTGTTTCTTGATTTTTTTTTTTTACTTGAAATTCATTTCCTTAGCATGGCATATAAGGGTGCATATCGATAGACAGTGAAGCCAGATGGTTTCTACTACAGTCTCTTTAGAGACAAATGCTAGGTGCTTTTACTCTGTGGTACATTGTTATGGAGTTGAGGCATATACAGAACCTGAGGCAGTGCAGAATGCCACATACTGCTTATTCACCTTTTGCATTACTTAGGACAACAATTGGAGGCTCATAGTTTACCTACAAGATACTAGTTAAAATCCAACTGGAAAGTACTATGTTAATGTTATTTTGTCTCAGAACATTATTTTGTCTCAAAGAACGGTTTAATTATTTTAAGCCAATTGTTTTTTGTAAATTAAATAATTTGACACATAGATTGGTGGGACAAATTCAGTGGTTCAGTGAGGAATATCCTGTATTCTCAAGACTGCGTACAACAGAAAATTCCCATTCTTCTATGACAATAGTTACATCTGACTAAATTCTCTCTTTTGTTTGATTCTTTAAAGAAAGGGAGACATTTTCAAGATCCTGTCCTGGAAAACTCTAAGAGGATAGTGAGGCATGGGGAGAGTGATTGGTGAAAGGCTGCCTTCAGTGTAGTCCCTTGGGTGTCACGTCACAGAGAAAAGATGGCTTCAGGCAGCCTCCATCAACATGGCACAGTAGGGCAGCATATGCTGAACAGCAGCTGGTAGCTCTGCTTGCCCGCCCACCCACTGTTGCAGCAACAACAGTTCTGATGTCTGAGAGGCCCAGCTGTCACCACCGCCGGTGGGGCAAGGCACAAAATGACTCTGACTGGGCACAAGGCTTGCCTGCCTTTCCAAGGGTTGCTAGCATCCACTTCTTGTTGACTGTTGGCCGAGCAATCGTGCAAAATTAGTCAGGTGGTACTGGGCTTACCCACAATCAGTGCTTAATCATAAATCAGAAGCAGACTTTTCAAAGTGTAAATATTCTAAGATGTCCCTCCTCTTTTTTAATATCTAGTACAAACTGCCCACTACCAGGACATCCTTTGGGACATCTGTTCCCAGCAAATAGCAGACAATGATGTGGAGGACAATGGAGTTATTGCACAGAAGAATGCTGTCAGGCATGCAGTTTAAATTGCAGGAGATGCTACTGAGGGAGGGAGCTTGGCATGGAAGGAGGAAGGGCTGCTCTTTTGGACAGCTGCCATATATTTCTTCCACCACATAGTTCTGCCCTTAGATCTTTTTGAACTACTAAGATCTAGGATAGATTATTAAAACAAGTTCTAAGTAAAATGTTTATGTAAATATCTTTAATCATATTAATGTGAGCTGCAGGGTTTCTGTTTCTTTTTAAACTGTTGGGTGGCTGCTTGGTTGTTTTATTTTTACTAGGCAAAGCCAAAAAAGAAATGTCTGAAAACAAAGAGAGAAAGGGGCTTCTCTCTTGAATCACCGGGAAGAAGGATTTCTAAACATTCTCAAGAACCAGTGGTAGGTTATGATTTTTCAGCATTAAATAGCCATTATGCTGATTGACATCACATCACAATGATAATCAATATGTATAAACCGTACTTCAGGAAGGTTTATAACATTGTTTCAGGATACTTTGTTGGCATGGGAAATGTATTGTCACTACAAAACAGTATTCAGTCACTTTTGGTTCTGTTTATCCATTTTACAGCTTCCTGGGTTCAGTCTACCATAAAAACAGGCCTGAACCAGGCCTTAGCCACTGCTATATACACACTTCTCTGTTCTGCTCATCATAAATATGATTACACACAGAACCAGAGAAATCCTGTTTTTATTCAAATAGCCTAACTCCCTGATCTTATGGGAATAAATCCATGAGCAGAGTTATACCTTGGAAGCATCTTTCTTCTCTGCAGATAAGAGGGAATATACAGGATATTGAAGAGTCTTTAACAGTCCTGCACTATTGTGAAATTTTTGAGAAGTCTGCCTTAATTTTCCTCTTACAAATGTAGTATTTACTTCTTATTCAGAGTGAAGACAAAAAATCAGTAGATACTTCTCCCAGAATTTCCAAGAGTCAAGAACAGATAATTAAAAATGTAAGGATTTTTTACATATTCTTGCTTGCAAAGATTTCTAATCTCTGTCGCATTCAAAATTTGGATTTAATGGAAAATAGTCGAATTGCTCACTTATAGGAAATGAATCTCTCTATATATACAAATTCACTGTCTTTTCCCTTGTATACCCATATAAATAACTCTAAATGTGAGATTTTCTTTAGATATCATTATTTGTTTCTCATTTTATATCCAATACTCAGGCTAGTGAGAATTTTAATTACACTTTAATTAATTAGCTTTGGAGAAAATACTGTACAGTCTGCAGCAGTGCTACAAATCACTGCTTGCAACAAATCAATTTAGTTGAGTAGTTACACTGGAAGGACAGATCCTGAAACTGAGGCTCCAACACTTTGGCCATCTCATGGGAAGAGAAGAGGGCCTGGCGTGCTCTGGTCCATGGGGTCACAAAGAGTCGGACAACGACTAAACAACAACACCAAACTACTCAAGAGCCTGTCTACATATGTCTATTTGGAGTGGAATGGTGCAGGCTAAATAGGATCTTCTGGGGTTGCTAGGATGTGCCAATATGCTTTTTGATGCGATCCTTACATCCAAATGGCATATGAGAGCTCAATCAATCCTATTTGGTTCAGCTCCATCTGGTTTACATTTTTGATAATGTAAAGTGGCTTAATAAGTGAGCTGCTTCAGAATATTGGCAAATTGAACATGGATTTGGCCATTTTTCGACTGGCCCTTCAGACAAGGCACTACTATAGTCTACATTTTTTCACTTCCCCTGTCCCTTCACCTAGGAGCAGAGGAGATATTCCATTTGCCAATATCTTGAAGTGGCTCACTTATTAAGCCACTTCAGAATATCGGAAATTCAAACCAGAAGGAACTTTGACAGCCAGAGGTTCACTTTGGGTCCATTCCTGGCAATCACACAAACAGACCAAATCAAAATGATCCTACCTGTACCAAAAAGTAGAAGCCCCTGATAGGGGCTCAGAAAGTTGTGAGTAGGAACGTTCTGGGGATGATTTAGTTCACTCCAGTGATTATGTTGTGTGATTGTCAGAAAAAGAAGTGAACTAACCAATCCCTGGAGTGGACCAAACAGCAGGCTAAATGCCCATCTGATTGCAGCCCAAGTCAGTCACTCTAATCCAGCAGGTGTGTGCCATTGGTACTGCCAATATGCATCTGACCATACATTTACCAATGTAATGTTGGACTAGAAGTCTAGAGACCTAGGACCAAATCCCTGCTCAATTGTGGAAACTTGCTAGGGGTCCCAATGGTAAAACAATTCCTTAAATATCTCACTTTTCCAAGAAACCCTACAAGGGTTGCCATAAGTTGGAATCAACTTGATAACAAATAACAAGAACACATTAACACAAAATGTAGACAAGTTAGTTTTTCGAATTAGAGTTTCAGAATTCCTTAGCCTGCATGCCCACTGCTGATGAGGTAATTTTGGGAGTCATAATCCCAAATGTAACTTTTCCAGGATCTACATCTGCATCTCTGTTCTCTTCTGGGACTCCCTAAATGTTTGATTTTTTTTTTTGATTCAGTAGAGTTGCTATACAAGAATTACTTACTTACTTACTTACTTACTCGTTTGATTTTTTTTTATTCAATAGAGTTGTTATACAAGAATTTATTACTTACTTACTTACTTACTTACTTACTTACTTACTTACTAACCATCCAATTAGTGCAGTGTGCTGTTCTGGACGGTTTACAATAAATAAAACATACACAATTGTACCACAAGAAAACAATAACATTAACCAATTAGTGCAGTGTGCTGTTGTGGGCGGTTTACAATAAATAAAACATATACAATTGTACCACAAGAAAACAATAACATTAAAACATTTAACCAAATAATACAGTTGGTGCCATGAGCAATTCTCCATATAGACAGCAGGATGAGAAGTTTAAAATCAAATCAGACAGGGTCAATAGGGTCAGGCCTCCCTGAAAAGCAGCCTTTTGAGTTGCCTTCTAAATGCTAACAGGGAGGGGACCAGGCATAGCTCCATTTGGAGCTGATTCCCCAAAGTCAGAACCATCGTGAAGAAGGCCCTACCACTTTTGGATGACTTTCAAGCTTCCCTGGGGTGGGGGAGGTATACAGAGGAGCATAGCCTGGGAGGATATGGAGAGTCAGGCAGATGACATTGGGGAGAGACACTCTGACAAGTACTGCAATCCCAACCATTGTCATGCTTCATCATCCTGGCACATGCCTTGTACCACCATCTCAATGTCTTGTACCACCGATCAATAGTTGGTAAGAATTGTCTTTGGTGCCTCTTCTTCCTATTCTACTAATGTTTTAATTCTTCTGTACTTATTGTTTATTACTCTATGTTTTATCTATTGTTGTAAACCACCCAGAATACTCTGCAATACCTATGGGACCTCCAGGTGTAGTTTAGAACTTGAGCTGAAAAAAGAATTGTTGCTGTCTACATTCAGAAAGAATCAGTCTTCTAATGTTATATTTGAAGTATTTATTTTTACTTCAGGCTTCATCCTGTTACCATAGAAGTTTTAGTTTTGCCTATGTAAGCAACAGGTGTTACAAATTTCTCTTTCTCTGCAGACCCAGATTTTTCAGAAATTAAAATTGATGGAACTGCAAAACATGCAGAGAGAAAAGTGTGAGATTTCCAAACAGAATCCAGAGTCTTTCTCCAGAACCCCTAATACTCAAAAGGTTTGGATATCTTATTAATAGAATAAATTCTGCAAGATGAATTCTGTCAGTGTTGACTTATTTTTTTATTTCCCATTGTAAATAGTAACCATACGAGAAACTTGACTTTAACATTTGGGGGAAAACTGAATGGGTATAGGGCATGGTTTTTGAAGGAATATGTGGTGATGAGACACATTGCTCAAAAGGACAGCTGAACTTTTAAAAAATGCTGAACTAGAAAAACATGCTGAAACTCATTTTTGTTAATTTCCTTTACTAGCTCCCTTTGCTATAGTGCCTGAATTGCAGTCTTTAAAGCCACTTAATTTTCCTTTATAATGTTTTCTGAATAGTCATTAACACCTATTGGAGTGGCCTGGTATCTTGTGTTTGGAGGCTAACGTCTTTGTTATTTGCTTTCACTCCCTGACTTACAGTAAATGTGATAGAAGAATCCCTACAAATAGTGTGGACGGATTCATTCACTATGATCATTTAACAGTGCTGAAATGTGTTGTGTGATTATTGCTTTGGGCTTGAATTTTAACTGTCAACGGACAGAGCTGGACAGAGAAAAGATCCTTCTCCCATAGTGCTAACTTACTTAAGCCAAATTAGGAACCCACTTCAAGAAAAGCAGAGATAAATAGCTGTGGTTTTTTTCTTTGAAGGAATGTGGTGGGTAGAATCTGCTTGATATGTTTTCAAATTTTCCATAGTTCATTGAACAGTGTAGGAACAGAACACTGGACTTATCAGCAGTGCACTTATGTTCTTCCGGAATATATGCCTGATCTAGTTGGGGTATGCACCCATTTCCTGTAGGATAGTTCCCCTGCCACCTGCTGTTTACCTTCGGATATGTGCAGTAGTGTGCTATAAACAGCAGCCAGAGGAGACATTTTTGGCAGGAAAACAGCATGTAGACTTCCAATTTGGATGTGGGAGCACAGACTGGAACTCTGGAGGTGTTTTTCCCCCCCTTTGGAATAAAATTGGCCAGTTCAAGCAAAGTAAAACAAGCTGAATTTGCAAAGTGTGGAGCAAGGCAAGCTATTGCTAAAACAATCTGATGCCCTTTTGTCATTTATGGGAGTTCTGCTTCTCATGATGTACTAATTATATTATCTGTCTGAGCCTCAGTTCTCCTATTAGCCATTATTACCAAAACATACCGTCTGGATCTTTCTCTTTAATACAAATATTTTCTATGATACATACTTCAGTCTGCCATGAACACCACTGCAGGACTGGAACATCCATAACAAGCACATGCTGAAGAGTGCTGCAATGCTGCTCATTTACCATTGTTGGGAGACTCTGAGGATCATTTCCCACGGCATATATTTCAGCAGCAGGAAGGGCTTCTGCAGAACAAATGGTTGCTGTATTTCTTGCAAATGATCTGTCCCCATCCAGATGGCTGGTGATATGATAACTTGTAAGATATACAGGCAGTATTGTCTGCACTAATAGCATTATTGCAGTATTCCCAGATAAAAGGTTTTTGCCTTTTCTAGGGATGCCCTTCACATTTCTGGGAGTGTATAAAAGAAGAAAGCCAAAACCTTAGGAAGATGCCAGATAGAGGCTATGTGTTTGTTAACTCCTTCTTCCACTCTACTCTGAAAGGAAGCAGGAGGAGTTATGAGGTAAGCAGAAACATTGTTGCGTGTGGTGGCCCAGTACAAACACTGCTTTTGCCATTGCCAGCTACAGCACACAGGTTGTTTACTTATTCAAAGACTGGGGAAGCTGCTTTTGAAGACTATAACTCCCAGTATCCCACAGGCAGCACAGGACTGATTCTAGGAGTTGTAATCCTAAAAAGCCACTGAAAACAAGCAAATGCCACAGGGCTATCACAGACACAATTTTTGTGTGGTGATTCCTTGGAAATGTTCATTCCTCATGGGTAGCTGCACAATGCATAGTTATGAACCTTTTAAAGGGCATATGAAAATTTGTACTTTTCTACCCCAAACCCCCTCTTCTGGTTCTGAAAGTACACTGCCCTTCTTTATGGCATCATAGTGATAGTATCACATGGTTAGTCAATATGTGACAAACAGGACAGGTAGCAAAGGGTTATGACATATCTGGAAAGTATATTGACCAGGTCTGGACACAGACCTTCCTGATTGCCCACACCAGAGCCCCTGAATAGGAATGTGCTAGAATACTACTTTCCCATATCTGCTTTATTAAATGTTCAAAAAGGCAACATTTGTGTTAATTACATTAAATGCTTCAAAGGTTCTCTTGCCCAATGCACCTTTTGGAACATTTTGGATTATGTGTCAACATTTTTCTTTTACAGCCTAAATAACACAGCTAGCCATTCAAAATGGGTTGGAATCAAGTTTTTTCCCCTAGAGTGACTGTAAAGGACCTGAAAAGCTGTTTTGAATGTGTTTTAAGAAGAAAGTCAGAGTACATATAAAAAAAAAACTACAGTAAATAGAAAAATCCAAGACTTAAACTAGAAAAGCAACATTGATACTGCATATATCCTAGAAGCCCACATGGGGGTACATGTTTCAGTGCTTTCTTGTAACGAATGAATGTCAGACCTGAGAGGGAAAAGCTTAATAATATTATAATTAATCTCTGTTTTCTCTTACAGCCAAAAAACATAGCAAGGTTTCATGAACTTTTAAAGGAATCTAGTTCTATCATAAAAGATAAACCACACCAAACAACTTTGCTCACCCAGACAGGTAATGTGTGTAAAACAGTTCTACCAACATATGAATCCTGAGGTTTTTAAAATATATTCACAAAGTTGTCATATGATTTAATGCAGCACTACATTCCTTCTCTTGCCTCCCCCCACCCCATAAATGTGTTCCTTTGCATGCTTAGAATAGCATTGCACTCTAAACAACTGGTGGGTAGATGTTGTAGTAGAAGCAATGGTATGGTGTAGCCCTTAATAGGTTGTGGGGTAATGTAGCCCCAAACGGTGCTCTAACCTGGCCTAGGCATTGCACAGATTACTTAGCAATGTATGGAAAAATAGGTATCTGATGGTCAAAATAAAGAATACTGTACATTTAGCATATTTTAAGAGGTGTTATTTCAGCTAGTGAAAGATTTTTGTCATAGCATCATATTTTCCTCATCTACATTATTTTGCATTTAGTATGATTGATTATTCATCACCAAGAAAACATGCATTTTCTACAAATAGGGAAACAAAGACAGCTAAGACCTACAGGGAGCATAAAAGACCATCAATTTTGAGTATATGGTTGACCTTAAATACTGAGCTTGGTGTGCCATATTGCCAACATGTATATTCTTAGGTGTGGGGTCCAGCAACTCCAAAGTAATATTGCTTCTGGTCCAGGAAAAAAAGAAGGAGCTGTGGCCTTACTGCCCAGCTGCCTCCAGTCTCCAGATCTTATGTAGGTAAAGTTCTAGCTCTTTAATATCACTCAACTGCTCTTACTCTCCATGATCCAGGCACTCATCTCTGGTTAGCACATTGCCACAGATGCTTTGTTGGGAAGGCTACTAACATCTCTCCCCTTCCACAGACCAGGAAGAAGTGCCACCTTTTCCTGGATCCTCTTCTCAACTGATGTCAAGTTTCAGTCACCACTGGAAGTAATAGGGTAGCATTGCACCTGTCTGATTGATTATCCCTCCCTCCAGTCACACCCCCAATCCCACCCTACCTTGACCTCCACCTCAATCTTGTTCCCCACTCTACCACCTTAACCTCCACCCCCCAAACCACCCCTTGACCCCCACCCCAACCCCAGGCAGAAGGCCCAAAACAAGACACAGTTGCCAGGGGAAGGCTGGGGCCTGTGGCTCATAGGTGGTCATTGGGAGAGTGTGGGTGGCTGAAATGGTTTGTGAGAAAAGAGGAAGAGGTGGGACGCCCTGCTCTGAAATAGGCGTTCATTGGGGCTTGCTAGGGCAAGTCCTAGGGAGCATGTGGGGTGGCTGGAAAACTTTCACAGTACCGGACACCCTCTGAGGGGAGGAGATGGATGTCCCTTCTATCCTGCAGAACAAGGGGAGCCAAACCTTAATCCCAAAGATAAAAAGGCCTAAGCTCAAAGTGAAAAGGTGCTTGCAACCCCAAAGATGTGATGGACCTGTGAGTTTTTCCAGCCCCATTTGCCCATTAGCCCCCCCATCAAGAATGGGGAGGCTGACTGAGTCCCCCAACACTGTGAGAAGGAAGTCTCTGTCTGCAAATGACATACACGTGTTTACAGCAAAGCCAAAGCTGGACCCCAAAACCAGTCCAGCCTGCCTGGTATGCTGATGAGGACACTTAGGGTGTGTTGAGAATTTGGTAATGTATTCTCTTTGGACATAAGCAGAGTTAGGAGATATCAGGTTGCAAAGACACTATAATGCTGAGAGAGTAAAATTCAACTTAGTCTATTTACACTTGAGGGGGTGTGGGTCAAAGTGGTAGAGTGGGGAAGAAGGTTGGGGTGGGGGTCAAGTGTAAATAGACTAAGTTGACAGACATTCAACTGGCAGCATAACATAAAATGATACAACATGTGGCATAGAAACAAGTGATCTGACTTACAGCACATAACATGTCCCCATTACACATGTCCTTTTATACATTCTGGGACCAATCACAAAATACATTACTGTACTTCATTTTACATTTTCATAAGGTTACATCATTTCTTCAGCTGGACAACATCAAGTCTTCAACCTTGGTACACACCTGAATCCACTTAGTACATGACTCAGGTTATATCAGCCATTTTACTTTCTATTATACAACATTATATTTAGTACACTTTTAGATGAAAATCTCAACAGGGTGGTCCAATATTGTGATTGTGGACATGGCATAAAACCACATTTTCAGAAGTCATCTGAAGGAACTCTGAAATCTACAGAGGATGTGGATGGCCCTGAGATTGTGAAACCGGCCTGCAGTAGTATTGAGAAAATGGAACAAGGAATCACAGAAACCTCAATTTCTACGATCCCTGAACATCTAACGGTGGAAGAGGCTTCAGATGAAGGCTGTGAGAATAATGTAGAGGATGAAAGCTGACTGGTAAGAGCATCTTCTAAAGATACAGTTATGGGGTATGTTTGGGATGGTGCTGTCTAAAAAATCCTTACTAAAGTGTTGCTTAATTCTCACCCCACAGGAGAATGCTCAGGTTGATCATGATGAGAAACCACCCAGCAGGAATATACGGACTATAAATGTTTCATGGATTTCATGTATTTTTATCAATCCTGAGGATTAGGCTGATGTTTTCTGGCTCCTGGCCCATTAATAAAGATAATTTATTGCACTGTGCTGTGTTCGTACTTGTGTTAACTGCTAAGATAGCTATACGGGAAAATTCTACACAATATATATTATACACTGGGGGCTTTGGGTAGTTTTGGTGGCATGAACCCTCTATTTAGGGAGGCCAAAAAGCAGATCAAAACACTGAGGATAGGGGATATTTCTCAATGGCTTTCAGACCAGAATGCTTGTACATTGCATAGACCAGCCAGACTTTGATTTAAAAGAAATAAGACCATTGTATCTGCAGTGGATGCTCAATGGCAGGCAGATTTGGTCGATATGCAACAATATTCTCAGCACAACAAGGGTTAAAAGTAGATTGTTTTCTAGACTGCAAGAGCATTGTGATGATTCACATTTTCCACAGGTAGAACAGAACTTTAAAAACAATAACAAAGTATTTCACAGCTAATAATACCTACAGATATATGGATGTTCTACATTTCCTTGAAAGTTATAATCACAGTATGCACAGAACTATCAAGTCTAGACCTGTACATATGAATCATATGATGCTTTCACCACTAGCTGTGCTGGCTAGGATTTCTAGGAGTTGTAGTCCAAGAACATATGGGGAACCAAGATTGGGAACCACTGCTGCAGAGCAGTGGAACTTCTTTACTTTGCCCTGAAGCTCTCTGAAATATATACCTGCAAAGGAATACATAAAGTTAAATCATACCCTCTCTAGTACCTCCAGGGTTGGACTGTCCAGGGGAGACTGTAGGCTTTATTGTGGGGGCACAGGTGTCAGTTGTTTTCTCCTTTGGCAGCAGAAGCTCAACCTACCACTACTGTTTATATTTCTGATTTTACTTTTACACCGTTCCAATAACTAGGCTTCTCTGAAAACATTTTAACTCCATACATGTGGGATGGAACACAAAGGATCCAAATGCTTATGGCTTATGCCTGAGGACAACCAGATGTGCTTTGTTCTGTCTCTTGGTCATCCCAGCACTGAACAAATACCTGTGATCTGTTCAATTTTTGCTAATTAATATTTCATCCTAGCTCCCATTGAAACTTAGTAGGAGAATGGTACTAACTATCAATTGTCTGATTTCTTTATAATATTTATGTAAATGTTTATACATGTAACAGTTTAAGACTCATTTATGATCCTTCCATCTAAGAACAACAGTGCATGAGTTATATTCTTTTCTTTTTTCTCCAGATTCTATGCCAGATGAACCAACAAAATATACAGTCCAGTATCTTAGTCATTATTTTCCTGAACAAGGTTTAAGTAAGTAACTCAGCTATAATTCATATAATCATGCATACGTAAAAAGCTTAGACTCTCTTACAGCAGCATGGTTAAAATTAGAAAACATTCTTTATAGAGCAGCAGTTTTCTCACATGAGGGCACAATTACAATATGAAAATGAATCAGGAGCTGAAACAGGGCATTCAAAATTGATTTAAAGTTACATGGTAGTCACATGGTTTTTGAGTCAGGTTGTGCATTTTATTGGTACTAGTTTTAATCCATTGTGTTTGCAGATTTGTCACCAGCATGTGTGTGTGTGTGTTTTATAACTGATTGTGTGTATGAGAGCTACAGATATAGATATATATGCACATACACACACATAAAAGTGTATATATCCCTTGGTCTAGATGGGTGGGATAAAAAAATCAAATAAATAAATACATAAATACATAAATAAATAAAATACTGTGTGTGTGTATATATGTGGGGGTATGTATATGTGTGTATGCATATGTATATATACATACTGTTCATATGTATATACTGTGTGTGTACACACACACACACATATACAGGCACTCCTCACTTAACAGCCTACCTGTTTAACAACTGCTTGGATATGTGACTCTTTACAACCCTCGTAAATCCGTGCTTGTGTTTTCACTACACCCCTCTCAATGGCCTGTGGTGTATTACTCCTTTATACATTGTTATTGCTCCTCCCTGTACTGTATATATGTGTATTCTGTATATAATCTCTCTTCCAGCACTGCAGTTCTAAGATTATTTTAAAATAAAAATATCTGGCATTTGTTTTCATGAAGAATGAGCCAGTGAGGATGAACATATGAGGACAAACCCTGGCACTTAATATCATATGCAGGAATAAACTAAGGAATTACATTTTGTCCAGCCCTTTATCCTTGTAAGATAAAAGTATTTTAGGGTACAACTAGATGACTGAATTATCCTGACTGAGGTCTATCTAGATTGCACTAAGCGGGGTCCCTTTGAGACATGATCATTTGGGGCGACCTTTACATTCACATGCAAAGATTGACCACACTGCACCACTGACAATTCTGTTTTGCAATATCATAACTGATCTTTCCCTTTAAAGAGAAAGGAAGTTTTCAATTTCTGAAGATTGTTAAGCAGCTGTCTGTCCCCTTGCTGAAGCCACTTAAGGATCTTGAGAAATGGAAAGCTTTTTTTCCACTTGCCTGTGAAGGGGAAGGGAAAGGAAGTTTATACTTCTTTTTAAATGTTACTAACTTATCAGTGATGCTTTGAAAAGGTGTTAAAAACTTTTTCAAAACATTGCTGATGCAGTGTGTCACCTCACCAAATAAAAAGAAATGGAGAGGTTCATTTCCCTTCCCCTCCGTAAGCAAGTGGCAAGGAAGCTTCTCATTTCTCAAGACAGGACAAATGCCTGTCTGATTGCAACCTTCGTGTTTTGTGTCTGGTTCTGTTCTATCTTTGATACAGATATTGGCTGGGATCTAGCCCAGCCTTTGAAGCAAATAATTTCCCAGAGGCTCTTCCTGCCTCCTACTGCCCTTAAGCAAGCATGCAGCACAAGCAAAAGAAATGGTGCACTTTCTGGTTGTCGGCTTCCTAGAGTGGAAAATACGGGGAAAGAAGCGAAGAGCCAGCAAAGAAGTAAGTAATCCAACAAGGAAGAACCCAGATACTTGCAGGGGTAAAGATGATGGAACTTTCAGTGCAGGCACTTACATTTTTTCCTGTGTGTACTCTGTTCTCTTGCATACACAAATGCCTGTGTCATTAGGCTGTTTACAACAATAACATTAAAGATTTCCTCATTGGCAACTTATGGCCGTGTGTGCCCTGCACCTAAAATGTGCAGTGAAGTGGCCTCTGTGCTCTGACAAGGAGTCTCCGCTGCATTTTATACCACTAAACATTTGTGTGCACTGATTGGCTGATTTTGAAAATGTCATATTTCTGGGAGATATAAGTGACTGTCCAGCAGTTTATCTATTGGTATCATACTACTGTAAGGAAGCATACATGAGGATCATACTGTTATATTTAAGAGTGCTGCAAGACAGGTGAGGATAAAACGTGTACCAAGTCTCCTAAAGTTTTCTGAAGAAAAGTCTGATGGGACTAGGGGTTATATTTGTGCCTCCAGTACCCCAGAGGCCTATAACTAACTCAGTAGTTCTAAGATAAGAAGAGAAAAATCAACACTGGAAGTTACCAGACATCCATCTCATTTATTTTGATTTAATTGGATGAATTTGGGCCCTACCAAGCCTTCCCTTGCCCCATGTTATAAACACTGCTCCTGGAGTCTTGCTTTTTCTGCTTCAATATTTGTATGCCCTAAGGGGCTCTGTGGGACTCAAGAGAGCTGAAAATAGAGGAAGAACATTCTTAAAGAGCTATGTGATAATGCAATGTTTTTGGAAAATATTCAGAGAATGAGCTAACCCGCACTTAAGGTAGAATGGACCTTCTATATTTATTTAAATAAATTAATAAAAAATCTGCAGCCTTCGTGAACTGTTTATCCTAGGATTCCCTGTTGTATTATAAATAGGTTTTTAAAAATCCGGTGAAATTGTAAGAATCAATAAGTATGCTTGCTTGCAAATGTATTTTCATGAAGAATCAAATATGTGGAAAATACAGCCAGGATGTTTACAAAGTGAAAAGAAAGAATCAAAAGGGAATGTTCTGGGAACTCTGCAGTGCAAAACAGCTTGGAAACAGAAAGCCTAAGGGATTAACACATGACTTGCACAGATAAATGACATGTTACAGATAAACTGATACAGTTTATGTGATCCACCTATCTTTACATACTGTTGCAGCTCTACTGTCTAAATCAGATCTGAAACTGGGAAGTTTTAGGCCATTTAAAATCTCTAAAATATATGGATACTCTTGCTGGTTTCTGGAGCTTTTACCAATCCAAGCCAATTTCACATAGAGTATTATTTTCCCATTTCTCCTAATTTTTTGAAAATCAAAATAATGATCAGATAACAGCTCTTTGTTTCTCCTGCAGAAAACCAAATGTATGCCCTATATGTGTGGAGCAGGTGGGGGTTTAATCTTCTTAAAAATATAAATATAAATTTATATAAATCGCACATAAATAAAATAAAATAAAATAAATAAAGGATCATAAGAAGAACATTGTAAGATTGAAAGCTCTGGACTGAAAGTTTTAATTTTCAACAGTGTCCCAAAGTGAAGTGATTAAATGAAAGAAACCTTTCCAGAGAACTAAAATACTTAAATATAAAATATATTTTCTTATAAAAGAATAATTTCCTGGAAAGCTCGAGATTATTTTCGGTGCTATATAATCTTTATTTATTTTTTTATTACTTGCAGCCTCTCTGGTACATATGGAGAGAAATCCTAGGTAAGAAAATTTCACATTTGACACTGACAATTTTCCTTGAAAGTTTTTCTGACCTCACTCCTATAAATATTTACATCAGAGTAAGCACCACTGAACTTCTGAGTAGGCATGAGATTGTACTCACAGTTAACTTTCTACCTTTATGAAAATAAGTCTAACATAATTTAATGCTTTTCTCTTTTGCCAGTAATGGGTATGATTGCATTTGGGAAGGGTGTGACGAGGAAGGCGTATTCTCCATATTTTTAATTTAATTTTATCCTCCTCTTTTGTCAAAGCCAGCAAACTTCGGATTGTATCCTTGAAGGCCAGCTGTCTTAGTACAGTGGTGCCTTGAGTTGCGAACTTAATTCGTTCCGGGATGATGGTCGTAACTCAAGTTGGTCGTAACTCAAAGCACCATTTCCCATAGGAATAAATTGAAACGTGATTAATTCATTCTGGCCATTTTGGGTTGTATCTCAAGGCACTGGTTGTATCTCGAAGCATTAGTTCCCATAGGAACTAATGCAAAAGCAGTTACAGTGGTGCCTCGCTAGACAGTTACCCCGCATAACAGTTTTTTCGCTAGACATTGACTTTTTGCGATCGCTATACTTATTCACAAAACAGTGATTCCTATGAGGGAATTTTGCTGGACAATGTTTGGTCCTTGCTTCGCAAACCGATTTTCGGTAGACGACGATTTTGACAGCTTCCTCCGCACTTGCAAAACGGGTGTTTTCGGGACCTAAGCTTCACAAGACAGCGATTTAAACAGCTGATTGGCGGTTCGCAAAGCGGCTTTCCTATGGCTGATCTTCACTAGACAACGATGATTCTTCCCCATTGGAACGCATTAAACAGGTTTTAATGCATTCCAATGGGGAAATGCTTTTTGGTAGACAATGATTTCGCTAAACAGCGATTTCAGTGGAATGGATTATCAGCGTCTAGCGAGGCACCACTGTAATCTGTCCACTAGAAGAGACTTTTTAAAAAAAGAAAACCTAAAATGACCCCTAAGGTTAAAAAAGGGAAGGAAAGGAGGGAGGAAGCCTTTTTTCCGGTCGTATCTCAAAGCGCTGGTCGCAATTCAAAGCAAAATTTTGCAACCAGAGCTGGTCGTAACTCAAATTGATTGCAAGTCAAGATGTTCGTAAGTCTAGGCACCTCTGTACTTGTATCTTTATAAGGTGCAATACAGAGACATATTCATTAGAGCAGCAGTTACCTGGTGAAATTATTCAGCCTAATAGCGCTTATATATATATATATGTCTAAAACTGAACATTTGTATATAGCTGCTTATGCAAAGATATATCCAGTGTGGTGTAATGAATAGACTGATGGATGAGGACTCAATCATGGAAAGTCATGGGGGGGAATGACACTGATAAAACTACTTCTTAAATATCTCACCTTGAAAGCCCTGTTAGGGTCAATATCAGTTCACTCGATGTTGGTGGCACATCACTCACAGACACACACACACACACACACTTATGCAAATGATGTGTCTGTACATGTTACATAGTCCTCAGTTCTTAGAAGTCATTTTGCTTGTTAATAGTAATTCTAAATTTAATGGGCATTTGTGTATCATGTTGGACTCTTCTTCTACAACGTTTGCTTCATTTTGTGCATTTACTTGATTTTCTTCTTTGGTTTGATGAATTTTCACCTACCAGTCAGTAAGAGTGGCTTTCATCTGTTTCAGTTCTGTGTTTCTGTCTCAGGCAACTGGAGAAACCCACCCTGAAAGGGGATTCATCACCTTGGAGTTAGGTGAAAAAGAACTGCAAAATATAGCTCTGGCTCAAGAAGCACATTTTAGTTCTCCATACAACAAAGCTACAACCTGGCGATTAGAAAAGCATCAGCATGGAAGGGCTGCTAGTTGCAGAGAGAAGACACCTTCACAGATGAAAGGTGGGTTTTTTTAATATTTGAAATGAATAGTAAAAGCCTCACCAGCCCTTGTGTGCTATCAGAATGTCCCCAATGATCCTTTGCTGGTTGGTGCTTCTTGTGATCTCTCTTCTCCTCTGAGAACCCCAGCTGTTTCTCTTGATAGCATTGACTAATCTGCTTTTATAAGGGGCTAGGCTGGACCATGGGGATAAGCAATTGCCTATGGACAACCTTTGTTAAATTGAGTTGCATAACTGGATTTTCAAGTAACAACTTGATGGGTAACAGGGATGGGGATTCATGTTGTGGGACTCACTGTCAAGTTGGATTTAAGTCGCATCAGTTTCAATGAGTCCAGCTCAACTCACAACACAGAACCCATTCACCCCTTCATTTTTTTCTGGGGGAAATAATTTCTTTTTAAAAGGGCTTGTGGCTTGGGACTCAGACCCAAAGACTTACCCAATCCCTGTTGGGTAAACTGTTTGAGCATTTTTATTGACTGGCTTAGGAAAACTTGAACTAAACCAATCACAGGCAGAAGGTCTGTGGCGTGTTTTCCTGCCCGTACTTGTAGTGAGTAGGACTGATAGAACAGTGTACACAAGGATCATGGCAGATACATTAAAAACATTGTGACATCCAAGCACGCCCATTTATTACTTCACAGCTGAGCATTAAAAATAAAACTTGGAGCTAAAAATGGGAGATAAATTTAATATGGAAAATAAGCTAAACTTCGAGTTGATCTCTAAAAGTAGTAGCTCTTTGTATTTTGCTTATTTATTTCTATTTGATCCTAGGTCTCTTTGAGAACTCCAAATTCCATTTAGATGGAAAGGAAAGAATTGGAAAAGAATGGTCACCATCAAGAAACACTAAACCTGATAGAAGCAGAGGAGGATGCCGTGAAGCAGGTCTTCGACTGACTACTCCTTCTCAGACACCAGATTTTCTACAGCTCTCCTTGCCTTTAGTGTCTGAGGGAAAGTATGGAGCATCCACTGAAAAATACTACAGAGATGAAAGACATCCCAGATCCTTAGGTGAACATAGGTAAGTGAAGGCAACTGTCTATTCAATGCATCTTTTGAGTCCCCCTGCTTAAAGTCTTCCCATGATCCTGATTTAATTCTAAACTAAAATGTAATTGAATGTCTCTGAACAGGTTAAAGACTCACTGGCAATGTCTGTACTGTATCAAATATACTGTTCCCGGAAAGGTCAATTCTTCTCACAGCTACTGCATTTAAGCCCAGAGGGAAGAAGGAAACCATAAGGGGGGTGACATATGATGCTATAGTCCCCTGACTTTCAAATAGAGATGGGTACAAACCACAGGTGCTGCATGTTCCCTTCCCCTGCCTCCCTGGCAGGATCCTCCACTTATCAGCCAGTGCACACTCCTCTCCTCCTCTTCTTCCTCTTCGGTTGTTCAACCAATCTCTGGCAGGAGGACATGCTTCCCTGGCCTGCCTCCTTGGCTGATTGCCCACTCAGACAAGGAGGCAGGACAGGCAAATCTGTGCTCCTGCCAGGGACTGGTTGAACAACCAAAGAGGAGGAGGAGAGGAGCACAGTCCAACTGGTGAATGGGCCTTTGGCCGGGGAGGTGGGGAAGGGGATGCTCTTGCAGAGGGAGCTGCAATGTAAAGCCATTTGCAGTAGCTACAGTGTAATACTATTTTGTATGCACTAGTTAAATGATTGGTAAGCACACATATAAAACAAAGGACAGGGCTTGATGAGAGAAACAAAAATAGGTAGAAAAGTAGAATATCATAGTGGAAGGCAAAAGATGAGTGGTTCAGGAAACACTTTCTGAAGATGAGTTTAGATTATTGTAAATATTATCTTAGCCAATGCATTCTGAACTAATTAAACAAGGGAAAGATAGCAGCACACAATGCCATGCGGAGGTGTACTTCTTAATAACCATCATATTACATATTAAAATATTCAAAGCACCCCACATACATTTTCTTAATATGTATGTAGACTGCACTAAATTTACCCATAAATTTTAAGGAATTTACATTGATCCATGGAACTTTGAAACTGGGTAGCTTCTGTCACAACCAAGGTTCCCTCTAGGCCAGTGGTCCCCAACCTTGGGCCTCCAGATGTTCTTGGACTTCAACTCCCAGAAATCCTGGCCATCAGAGGTGATGGTGAAGTTGTAATCGAAGAACTGGGAGTTGTAGTTGAAGAACATCTGGAGGCCCAAGGTTGGGGACCACTGCTGTAGGCCATGTGCGCACGTGCAACTCCGCCTCCATCCATGCAGCTTTCTTGATCCTCCACACAGTGGTCACATTCAGCCCCTTGATTCAGGTCATGCCAGAATCTTATGCGTGGGGGGGGGGGAGTCGCACATGCACGAAGGGGTGAAGTTGCGCAAGAGAGAGGCAGAGCCCGCCCAGTGGGGCTGAAAATTAGAGGGTACGTTGGTCACAATGTGTATCTTGTCAACCTGCATTGTCAAGAAGTAAATTGTATAACTAAGATAGCACATGCAGGCTTTTGTGGTTGAAATAATAACGTTGTGGGTTTGTCACTTGGGAGACTGAGGTGAATTCATTTTGTCTGTGCAGGCTACATCTGGCTACACTGTCAACTGCAAAAGGGACCAACAAGACCATTGTACTGAAAGACGGTGAAGACGGTGAAGCATTTGGTTCAACACCTGTTCTACAGACCAGATCCAAAATACCCAGAAAAACCTCCTTATGCCAAATTGACAGCAAATTTTTTTCCAAGAGACATAAAAGTCAATGCCTGAGTCTCAGATCTTCTATGCATGACCTTTCAACCACAATTGAGAGGCTGTCCTTTCCCGCTTAGAAACAGATGCAGATTCTTGGAGAAGCACCTGAAAAACCAAATGCATGATGCTGTAAAGGTTCTGGTGTTAACATCTTCAGAGATTATGGGTTCTGGCTTGTGGCATTTGGTGCTGGGAAAATGGGGATGAGTATTTTTGATGAAGCGCAGTTGTACTTTATAGGACATGGGATTTAAATGTACCAGAACATCAACCATGAGGTTATCAGCTGTGGCAGATAAAAACAAAACTAAAATACAAACCAGTTTATCGACTTTAATTTTTGTCAAATTGCACAGGGAAGCAAGTCTACATTTTTGCATCTAAAGCCCACCCTCTTTATCAGGCTGTGTTTCTTTAACAAAACTATAGAGTGCAGGATATTGGGGTTGGGATTTGCAGTAGGGATTCACATTAGATATTAAGAAAGCCTGTTTAGGCATTTTGTCTCATGTAGGCATCCTTCAGTCTCAAGAGACTATGGTATCGTGCTCTGTATGGAGGTCTTGGAACAGTGTCTTGTGTGGCTGAGAAGGCCAATTCGAGAGTGACAATCCCTTCCACACTGGAAGCAAATCCAATCTGTCCCCTGTCCAGCTCCCGGGTTTTGCTTGTTTCGGGACTGCCTCTTTGCCTCGGTCTGCTGTACAAGTGTCTCTTCAAATTGGGAGAGGCCATGATGCACCGCCTGCCTCCAGGCTGAACGCTCAGACGTCAAGGTTTCCCATCTGTTGAGGTCCATTCCTAAGGCCTTCAGATCCCGCTTTTAGATGTCCTTGTAACGCAGCTGTGGTCTCCCTCGGGGGCGGCTTCCCTGCACTAATTCTCCATACAGGAGATCTTTTGGAATCCGACCATCAGCCATTCTCACGACGTGCCCAAGCCAACGTAGACGGCACTGTTTCAATATTGTATACATGCTGAAAATTCCATTTTGTCTGTTTTGATGTTAAACCTGAAGGGAAAAACAATGTATGGCTTGCAGAAATCTAGTAAAAGGGAAGGAGGATTTACCTTGACACTTTGGGCCTGCTGTGGCATTGTTTTTGTATCATCAATTGTAAGTGTAATTTAAATAAGCACTCAATAGAAAGCATGGACATCAACACCCATCTCCCTGACCGAGCTCCACACAGACCAGAGTAGCCAACATATGCCCATGGGCTGCATGCCACCTCTTAGAAACCAAGTTGCCAACATTTCCCCTTCTCACAGGTCTAACGCCATGGCCTCAGTCAAGAGTTTGGTGGCTACATATAGCCTCTTAAGAATTAGTGGCAGATCCAAATCTAGCACAACCACGTCTTTTTTTGATCGTAAGTTTTACGAATTCCCAAAGAAGTCTAAATAAATAATAACTGGTGTATCATGAAGGGACCCTGTTTCCCTGAAAATAAGAACTAACCTGAAAATAAGCCCTAGTATGATTTTTTCAGGATTCTCATAATATAAGCCCTAACCCAAAAAATAAGCCCTAGTTAAGTGAAAGCCCGCCTTCTACCATTGTGCAGCAACCAGAAGATGATGACATAACTGTATTTAAATAAATGTAGATTGCTGTACATGAAAAAAAATCCCCTGAAAATAAGCCCTAATGCGTTTTCTGGAGCAAAAATTAATATAAGACCCCATGTTATTTTCGGGGAAACACAGTAATTCTGACTTTTGCCAGAGTGACCTTTGCCAGAGTTTTTAAAGTGTAGAGTGCTGAGATGTGATTTATCATTCCCTAAAAGAAGTCTACATATATATTTTTTTAAAATGCCTCCCCTTCCTTCCAAATAGTAAATACAATTCCCTAGAAAAGCCCATGGAAGATTTTGAGACTGAAGTTTTCACATGGAAATTCCTATCCTAGTTGCCTTATTACTTACTGGTAGGAATACCAAAGAGGCCCAGAGCATGTAATGAAGAAACACTTACCACAATTGAGGTAAAAGCCAAGTGCACCTTAGTGGTGGTTAGTGTTTTCAGAGACTTCCTACACATCCAAATCCTTATTCTTATGGCCACAACAATACTTATCCAGGCATTAAGGCTTATGCCCTTGGAATGTGTACAAGGGACTATAGGATAGCCCAGATACCATCCTGAAAAATCATACTAGGGCTTATTTTCAGGTTAAGTCTTATTTTTGGGAAAACAGGGTAGATCACAGTGAAAATTAAACAGAAAAAAGGGGGAGAAACAACATTGTTACCTTCCTTGGTTACAGCACTTGTAAATCAGTTCTTATAAAGATTGGAGATAAGGCTGCTTTATTGTTTACTGCTGTAGAACAGCCCAGGGCAGTCAATCTGGCTTGTGAATTACTGCTTCCGCCAGAGGTGACTGCAAGCAGGATGGAAATCTCCAATTAAGGCGGGAAGGAAGGTGCAAGAGAGGGACGGGTGGGTTAATCAGCTTGTTTAAATGTAATGAGAGGAAACAGGGACATACTGAACTGATGCAAATGACTGCTAAAAATTTAGGGAGGGAGGTTGTGTGGTAAAACCATGAAAAAAGGAACCTTCCAAAGTGTTTGTGTGTGAGAGAGAAAGAGAGACAAAGAGACTTGATTCATAAAATCAGAATTAAAAAGGCATCAAAAGCTAATCACAATTGGTGGATTGCATTGCATTCAAAGTAAGGGACGTGGTGGCGCTGTGGGCTAAACTGCAGAAGCCTGTGCTGCAGGGTCAGAAGACCAGCAGTCGTAAGTTCGAATCCACGCGACGGAATGAGCACCCATCGCCTGTGCTAGCTCCCGCCAACCTAGCGGTTCGAAAGCATGCAAGTGTGAGTAGATAAATAGGTACCACCTCGGTGGGAAGGTAAACAGCGTTC